CATCTTACAACTTCAATGCAAACTACACTTGATAAAATTGCTCCACTGAAAAAGAAAGTAATCAGTCAAAGGAAACTGGCTTCTTGGTTCAATTCTGAGTTACGTACTTTAAAGCAGGCATCTAGAAACCAGGAGAGAAAATGGCGCTCTACTAATGTTGAAGAATTTTATTTAACTTGGAAAGATAGTCTGCTAACATATAAAAAAAGCTCTCCGTAAAGCTAGAACTTTATATTACTCATCTTTAATAGAGGAGAATAAATATAACCCTTGGTTTCTGTTTAGTACTATTGCTAGACTAATTAAAAGTCCCATTCTGTTGAACCATGTATCCCTACAACTATAAGTAGTGATGACTTCATGAGATTCTTTACAAATAAAATTATTTTAGTTAGAGAGAAATTTCAAACCATCCTTCCTTCTACTATCTCTAGTCTCGTTAAATGAGGCAACTTTAAATATTTCACTAGAGCCTGATTTATGTTTGGACAGTTTTTGTCCTGTTGAGCTCTCTGAATTGTCAAAAATAATAACCTCATCCAAACCATCCACATGTCTGCTAGATCCCACCCCAACCAGACTGTTTAAAGAGGTATTCCCCCTAATTAATGTCCACATTTTGGATCTACTTAATTTGTCTTTAATGAATGCTTATGTACCACAGCACTTTAAGGTTGCTGTAATTAAACCTTTGCTTAAGAAGTCTGATTTTGATTCAGAAATTCTGGCCAACTGTAGACCCATATCTAATTTAACTTTCATCTCGAAAATTCTAGAGCAAATAGTTGCATGTCAGTTGCGTGAACATCTACAAAGAAATAATCTGTTTGAAGAATTTCAGTCAGGGTTTAGAGCTTGTCATAGCACAGAAACAGCACTAGTAAAAGTCACTAATGATATCCTCATGGCCTCAGACAATGGACTTGTGTCTATACTGGTCCTGTTAGACCTCAGTGCTGCATTTGATACAGTTGATCACAATATTCTACTAGAGAGGCTTGAATATGATGTTGGAATTACAGGAACAACTCTAACATGGTTTAAATCATATCTATCTGATAGATTCCAGTTTGTAAATGTAAATAATAAATCTTCTTCACACACCAAATTTAGTCATGGAGTTCCTCAGGGCTCAGTGCTTGGGCCAATACTATTTACTTTATATATGCTTCCATTAGGTAAAATTATTAAACAGCATGGGATAAATTTCCATTGTTATGCTGATGACACACAATATATTTGTCCATTAAGCCCAATGAATCTAATCAGCTACTTAGACTACAAGCATGTCTTAAAGACATAAAAACCTGGATGACCCTTAATTTTCTCCTTTTGAACACGGACAAGACTAAGGTTTTGGTTTTTGAACCTGAGCACCTTAGGAATGAATTTTTCAGTCTTTCCCCCTCCTTAGATGGCATTAATCTGGCCTCCAGCTCTAATGTTAAAAATCTTAGTTATTTTTGATCAGGACATGTCTTTTATTCCCCTCATTAAAAATGTTACTAGAACTGCCTTCTTCCACCTGCGTAATATCACTAAAATTAGAAACATCTTATCTAAAAATGATGCAGAAAAACTGGCCCATGCATTTGTCACATCTAGACTGGACTATTGCAATGGTTTATTATCTGGATGTCCAAATACTTCCTTAAAATGTCTTCAGTTGATCCAAAATGCTGCTGCCAGAGTCTTAACTGGAGTTGGTAGGCGAGATCATATTTCTCCAGTTTTAGTTTCTCTCCATTGGCTCCCTGTCAAATCCAGAATAGAATTCAAAATCTTACGTCTAAACTACAAAGCTCTCAACAACCTAGCTGTCACGATCCTCGAGGTTGGAACCCAAATGCAGGGAGGCGAGGCG